TCATTAGCCCCATCACCTGGGAAGCAGGATATGATAATAGGATTAAACCACAGATATCAAGGCCTAGAAAAACACTCAGAAATAGCCTCAAAGTTCATGCCACAGGAACAGGAAACTATTCCAAACAGGGCTAGAGGGGGTATAAAAAACCTTCTACCCATGTGCTCAGCCTCTTTCTTCTCCTCTGCTCCTTCTTGCATGGACCATCTTTCTTCTGCAATAAACTGTAACCTTCTTCCCAAAGCAGTCGCCATGTTTGCTTATTTATTCCCGGCTTGGATGAACCAGGATGAAGACTTACTTCTAACAGTTCCCAGTGCTGCAGTTCCCTTCTGCACACAGAGGGGAGCTGCCTGCCCACCTTTGGCAGGCAGTTCTTTAGCTCTGTCCACTCAACAACTGGGCCTGGGAAAGCCAGGATGTGGTCATAAAGTCAGGTCAGTTCATGTGGTTACCCACTCTACAACCACCATGACCTACGACTGTAATTCTGGGTCAATTCTGGTCATAAGTCAAGGACTACCTGTACATAGATAGTCCTCAGTTAACAACCACTTAATTAGTGACCATTAGAAGTTACAATGGTGCTGAGTGATACAACCCGTCCTCAAAGTTCCATCCTTCCCAGCAACCCCCTAGTCACATGATTGTGATATGGGCGTTCAGGAACCAGCTCGCACTTATGACAGCTGCAGCAGCCCATGGTCACATGATCATCATTTGTGACGTTCCCTGATGGTTTCCCACAAGCAAAGTCAATGGGGAAGCTGGTAGGGAAGGTTGCAAATTGCTTAGGTAAGTCTCCTGGGCTCAGCATCAGCCATCCCAAGTCTTGCTGTGCTTGTGCCATGCCGGAACCTTGTATGCCCTCCCCCATTCAGCAGCAGCCACCCCACGCCTCACTGGGCTAGTGCTATTGCTGGACCCTCGTGCACCGTCTCCCGCCCAGTAGCAGCCACAAGGCTTGCTGCACTCACACTGCACTGGACCTTCACACACCCTCCCTCACTGTGCAGCAGCCACCCCAAATCTTGCTGCACTTACACCGGACCGGACCGTCACGCACCCTCCTCCATACCACAGCAGCCACTTACCTGCCTACTGGCCTGTTTGTGAGCCACTTGGGCATTCTGCCAGCTTTCCCACTGATTTGGTTGTTGAAAGCCAGCAGGAAGTTGCAAGGAGGTCCTTGCTTAAGGACCCATGAACCTCACTAACAACAGCAACAAGAACTGTTGGGATTGCTGTTGCTAAGTGATGCAGTCACATAATGTTGTGCTTTACGACCACACCGCTTAGCAAAGGAAATTTTGGTCCCAATTATCATTGTTAACCAAGGATTACCTGTATGCAGTTCCCTCAATTGCAGCTAGTAGAACTTGATTTCCAGCTCCCAATAATTTTTGCTACAACTGCTCCAATCTGTTTTGAACTGTTCTTAAAATGTGGTGCCTAGAAGTATCACCAGTTCATTATTAATTTCAGCATTTTTCCTCAGCCCTTGCAATTACTATATTTATTGCTATTACAGCTTGAGCAACTACTTCTAAGTGATTGAAACTCATTCACACAGGGAATAATTTTAAAGAAAACTTATATGTATAATCTCTAAATGTGGGGCTCCTCTTTCTTTTCTAGCTAGCACAGCAGTAGCTTTATTGTGGCCTGCATGGAACCATTCAGAAAGTACCAGCTTAAATGCTGAAATAAAGTATGCTCTTGAAGCAATCAAGAATATACTTTTCAAATGCAAACATGCACTGATTTTGTATTCCATCCCCCAAAGTCTATAATAATTATTATCATTTTGCATAAATGTATGCAGTTGAAAGCTCCTTTCAGGTTCCTTTGAAAGCAATGTCTTAAACCACACAAAGAGCAACATAAAATTACTGAAGTATTTTGAACATGCTTGTTCAAATATTCACATAAACAGATTTTTCATAGCACAGCTTGACTGGCAGAAGACTGCAAGCAGCAAGATGATGCACCCAATTTTCAGTGAGGAATGCTTCATTCTTACCTGTTACATGTACAGTCCTAAAATCTTGACACATAATGGATATTTATGACCTTCTGAATAAAATCTAGTTACTATCCTTTTTGAAATTTGATTCAATTAATGATATGAATTTAAGACAAGTGCTCAATCCAATACACACATTTAATGCAGCTTCTCCACATTTTTCAATGGCAGCTAGACCCTGATTATGAATGTGAGTTTCCAAAAGTTTTTTCAGTTCTCCAAGGCCATCCTGAATACGAGACACAAGGTTATACATGCGACCCAAATCTGGAAAAAAAGGAAGCAAGATATATTTTAATTTGCATTGATGTTTTTATGTGACCTTCTCATTTCTTCACCTAAGAACTAGACAAGAAGAGACTAAGATCTGAAAATACACTAAAATAGTCAAAGAACTCTAAATCTAGAACAACGCACCCAGCCTCAGAGAGCAAAATGCCAGGTTAAAGATCTTCATTTCTTCTCAACATTCCATTCAGTTAGAAAGAATTTTCAAAGGGCAAAGTCTCCTTGACATCAATCTGAACTCCTGCTGATTTCATGGACCTGTCCATGTAGTTTTCTTGGCAGCAAGACATAGTTCTCTACTGCTTTCTACTTGGCTATTTTCTCAACTTCCTAGTCTAACTTATAGCCATGTGATTACTTGGTGGTCTGCCATTTAAATATTAAGCAAATCTGAGCCTGCCAAGTTTTTCAAACCAGCCAAAATTGGTTATGTGTTGCCATGTAAAAAATAGGTATGATCCCACAAAAAGCCTGTTTATGAAAGAAACAATCCTTGCTTCTTGGCACAAAATTGCCATGTACTTTGTGAACATGCTGGACACATTGGCCAGGGAAAATATTCACTTGATACTGAAACAGGAGGAAGTGTACAGTAAAATGAAAAAGAGTGTAATATGAAATACAGTGAAGAAAAAAATTATTTGATCTCCTGCTGATTTTGTACATTTACCCACTGACAAAGAAATGATCAGTCTATAATTTTAATGGTAGGTTTATTTTAACAGTGAGAGACAGAATAACAAGAAAAAAATCCAGAAAAACACATTTCAAAAAAGTTATAAATTTACTTGCATTTTAATGAGTGAAAGAAAGAAGTATTTGACCCCTTCGCAAAACATGACTTAGTACTTGGTGGCAAAACCCTTGCTGACAATCACAGAGGTCAGACATTTCTTGCAGTTGGCCACCAGGTTTGCACACATCTCAGGAGAGATTTTGTCCCACTCCTCTTTGCAAATCCTCTCCAAGTCATTAAGGTTTCGAGGCTGACGTTTGGCAGCTCGAACCTTCAGCTCCCTCCACAGATTTTATATGGGATTAAGGTCTGGAGACTGGCTAGGCCACTCCAGGACCTTAATGTGCTTCTTCTTGAGCTGCCCCTTTGTTGCCTTGGCCGTGTGTTTTGGGTCATTGCCATGCTGGAATACCCATCCATGACCCATTTTCAATTCCCTGGCTGAGGGAAGGAGGTTCTCACCCAAGATTTGACAGTACATGGCCCCATCCATCGTCACTTTGATGCAGTGAAGTTGTCCTGTCCTTCATGGCATAGTGTGTTACCAATTGTTTTCTTGGTGACTATGGTTCCAGCTGCCTTGAGATCATTGTAGTTCTGGGCTGATTCCTCACCATTCCCATGATCATTGAAACTCCACGAGGTGAGATCTTGCATGGAGCCCCAGATTGACAGTTATTTTGTGTTTCTTCCATTTGTGAATAATCGCACCAACTTCTCACCAAGCTGCTTGGCGATAGTCTTGCAGCCCATTCCTCCTTGTGTAGGTCTACAATCTTGTCCCTGACATCCTTGGACAGCTCTTTGGTCTTGGCCATGGTGGAGAGTTTGGAATCTGATTGACTGATTGCTTCTGTGGACAGGTGTCTTTTATACAGGTAACAAGCTGAGATTAGGAGCACTCCCTTTAAGAGAGTGCTCCTAATTTCAGCTCATTACCTGTATAAAAGACACCTGGGAGCCAGAAAGCTTGCTGATTGATAGGGGATCAAATACTTATTTCACTCATTAAAATGCAAATCAATTTATAACTTTTTTGAAATGCATTTTTCTGGATTTTTTTGTTATTATTCTGTTTCTCTCTGTTAAAATAAACCTACCATTAAAATTATAGACTGATCATTTCTTTGTCAGTGGGCAAATGTACAAAATCAGGAGGGGATCAAATAATTTTTCCCCTCACTGTAGCTCTTTATAAAATATATAAAATAGGTTTATAACTGCACTTAACTGGAAAGCAAGCTCACAGAGCCTCCGTAGCTGACCAATGTTTTCAGAGGAAAGGGGGAATTGAGTTTTACGAGGTAAAAGGGGTCTCTGGAATCTCTATGGAGATTCTCAGTCATCCAGGTCATGGTTGTCCCAAAGGTGCTTTTTCAGGAGGACATTTACATCCATAGACATTTAGCTATGCACTTTGGGCTGAACACCCTCGAATGGTGCAGGAATATGAACGGATTTCCAGAAAACATTGCAGACTACAGGAACAGGGCAAAAATCCTGCAGCCAGAAGGTTCCACACACATTTGCACTACTCAGGTGACCCTGAGGACACAGGTAAACCTCCAGATGACCCCAACGACCCTCTAAAAGAATGCAAATGACCAGCTGTCTGCAAGGAATATAAATCCTTCCATTCCCCACCATCTAGTCAGAGCTGAAGAAGCTTCTTGGATGAGAAGCGAAACATCTTCAAAGAAAAACAAGAAAGTCCAGTTGCCTCCTGAAAAAGCACCTTTGGGTTGGTAAAATGAGAACCCAGATTGTTGGGGGCAATATGCTGACTCTGTAAACCGCTTAGAGAGGGCTGTAAAGCACTGCAAAGCAGTATATAAGTCTTAAGTGCTATTGCTAAGTAAAAATAACAAATGGAGGAAAATCCCCAAATAAGTTACACAGATCTAATCCACATATCAAAGGATAACATCTGTAAACACAAATACAGTTAATTAAATTCAGACTCCCAGTGGAACTGCATATTCACAAGAATAAACATCATAGACACACACACGCCCCTCAAGCGTCACCGTAGAATCAGCATGTAGACACTTCCACACCAGGACAAGTTCCCCTATAAAAGTCTGTCACTGTACCCCATTTCTCTGCAGCTGTCCCTAAAGGCAAACTCTTTGCTTTTAAGAATAAATATTTCTTTCTTCACAGCTGTCTGGATTTCATTTTTACTAATTATTTGCACAACCCTGGCTCAAGTTGGAACCCCAAATTATTCTTCTGAGAGTACCAAATGAATGAAAGAGGATCTGAGAGAAAAAGATGAGTCATCCTGATATTGATAACGATATCAGCCACTCAGTGTCACCTTGCACTGCAAGATGAGCAGCATATAAATTTGATCAATAAATATAAATACTGATAAATTGGAAAACTTGAAGGCAAATCATAAAATTGATTTGTGAGCAGCCTGAAAAAATGCACAATTATATAGGCATTCAGCTAAATACACAGACGACCATATTTTGGGGGCAAAGTCTCACCAAGTCTTCCTGCCACTGTACTCTCAACTGGAAGTAAGCCTTTTTATATCATCCAGATTGTGAATAAAACAGTCACAAACACTCAAGAGCTATAGGAAATGCAAACACAGCTCCCCTTTAACTTTCTAGGACAGGGATCGTCAAACTTGGCCCTTTTATGACTTGTGGACTTCAACTCCCAGAATTCCTCAGCCAGACACGCTGGCTGAGGAAATCTGGGAGTTGAAGTCCACAAGTCATAAAAGGGCCAAGTTTGAAGACCCCTGCTCTAGGAGAAGGCAGGGAGGTCAGGAAGTAAAAGGGGCAGGGCCAACCTTACAACATTCTGTGTAGCAAACTAAATATGGCATTGGTGGTACAGTGAATATAAAAAGTCTAAACACCCATTAAAATGCCAGGTTTTTGAGATAGTATATCCAGTATATCCCATAGTATATCCAATGCCTTGGAAATTTTTGTGTATCCTTGTCCTGACTGATACCTTCCTACAATGAGATCCCTTTGATGGTTTGTAAACTCTTTGCAGACCATGGCTTTTGCTGTAAGAGGTAGCTGAGTAAAGGTCAGAAAAATCCAACAAGCAGAGCTGAACTTTATATGGTCTTGATCAGTCACTTTTAATTGATGGCAAGTGTGTACTGACTACTTTTTAACATCAGTTTGAATGTGATTGCTTAATTCTGAACACAGCCACACTCCTACTTATAAGAGGGTGTATACAATTATGCAACCACCTTATTGTACTTTTTATTGTTATTTTTCCCTTTAAAATATTTCAGTTTGTTTTTCAATTGAATTGTACAGCTTATATGTTACATTAAAGGTGGAAAGAATTCTGAAGTGATTTATCTTGGCCTGGTTTTTTTTACATCTCAAAAACCTGGCATTTTAACAGGGTTGTGTAGACTGTTTATATCCACTGTATGTCTATTAGGTGAATCCACAAATGGCTTGAAAACTCTTCCCCAGACATAAATGGTTCCTCATCAAAAAAGATAAGACGTACTATGGTCAGAGAAAGGTTGTGAATAAGCTAAGCTAAGCTAAGCTAAAGCTAAAGCTAAAGCTAAAGCTAACCTTTATTGTCATTTTTTACTGTGGGCACACTGGCACACATTAAAAATGAAATTCTGTTACCTACTCTCAAAAGTGTACACGTACATAACACACATATAAGCATGCTATACTGTATACAACATATGTATATACTTACACCCTTACATATAAATACATATAAATATTAATCACTGTCCATCTTGAATACATAGCGGAAAGAGGAAGCTTGAGAGTTCACAAGGTTAATACTTTATGGAACAAAACTGTGACTGAACCTAGATATTCTCCTTCAGATACCACAAAGCCTCCTCCCAGAAGGTAACAAGGAAAAACAGGTTGTGAAGAGGATGTGTAGTGTCCCAGACAATCCTGTGGACCCTGCTCAAGCAATGCTTATATGCTATGTTCTGGATAGAAGGGAGTGAACTGCCAATAATCTTTTCTGCCATCCTCACCACTCTCTGCACCGCCTTCCTGTCTGCAGCAGTGATGCTGTCAGAATCCAATTACATTTAAATTCTAGCTACCTACTCAAGATCGTCGCTGGAAGGACGGTGGGGTGGGGGCTGCTTGGGACCACTTAAAACCTTGAATGGTAGGGGTTGGCCCCTCAGATCCTGTCTAGAACGCCTGCAACCATGTTCTCTTAATAAAGATGCCTGTTGGAAGAGATATTCCAAGAGTTCTGTCTT